GCTCTTTCTCAGGTCTCCTTCGGCCAGAGTTTGATGTGTTGCCTGTGTGAATTGGGTCAGCCTATGCTTCCTAAATGTCCCCTCACACGGTCCCTCCAGGAAGCAGGTTAAACACCTTTTCTCAGAAAGGCATATATTTCCACAGCTTTTCATTTTAAATCTTTTCCCAGTGGGGACTTTTTTCCCTCATCAACCTGAGAAATTCTGCTACTGAAAATTCTTGTGTCAGTTATCTCAACCACAAACGGAAGTTGTTTTGCACAAGTCCCGCGGTAGCTGCATAGATTTTATTCTCCTTTGTGATAAAGCAAGGTCCAAATATAGCGCCGTGGAGACCCAGCTTCCATGCCTGGATCTGCCACTGGCACTTCAGGTGACCTTGAGCAAGCCTTCCGCCTCTCTAGGCTCCAGTGTTCTTATCTATAAGAAAGAAGGGTGTAGAACAAGTTGATAATGACAAGTACCTTTCAAACTAAGACCTTTGAAGGGAGTGGGAAACAAAGAGTTCAAGGACAGAGAGCTGCCTGCACACCAGGGGATGTCCCTTTTTAACTTTCTGGCCACTGTCTAAACAAAACAAGTCGAACCCTGGCTGTGATGGGGAGGTGAGGAGGCTGGGACGGCACGAGGAGCAAATAAGGAGCCACGGTGCAAACACAGCGCCAACGCGGATGGCAGAGACCCTCCCTTCCCGGGCAACCTGTGTGATGACAAACGGCAGCATGAAAAGAGTCTGCGGAGGTCTAATGCTGCAAGCGAAAGCTTTCCAAGTGTTCTTGGGGCATAGAAGTACTCGACAAATGAATAATACATTTAATGGTGGGGGGCTTCAGGACACGCCAACCAATATGCGGCTTTGGTACACGGGTGATTGAACTGAAGGCGCTGGAGTGGCACCAGCAGGGAAGACTGACTTACCCCAGGAGAGGGACTAGAAGGCGGCACCCCACCCAGACACGCTGTCCCAAGCCGGCCGCAGGGCCCTCCAGCCTCCTGCAAGTCACTTCTCTGCACTAAGTTGGTCACACACACACCCGACCCCCTTCCTGTGAAGACTAACGTCAGCTCTCAAACTGCAGCCCTTCACTGAACATTCACGTTTTATCCTGTGTTGCCCCCCATACACATAAGGTCAAAAACAAATACATTCATACAACTTGTCTGCTGCTAATCTGCCTGTTGTCAGTTTATTTCACAGACCAGCTACTGAACCAGGAGGGTTAAGGCACTATTCCTGCAGGGGAATCTCCAGGTTCAAGAATGTCTGTGATGTCAGGTCACCTTTACTGCTGGCATTACCTCCTTCAAATTGCCACCAGTACTTTGTAGATTCTCTCTCAAACCTATAGAAGGAAGGCAGGAGAGATGGAGAGAGCCCTGGAATAGGTGTCAGGTGGCCTATATGTCACCCACTCTGCAGGTTACTGGCTCTTCAACTCTGGGCAAAGCTCATAGCCCCTTAAGGCTGCCATTTTCTCATTTATGAAAACCTAGGTGGGGAGTGGGGTAGATTTAGTCATCTGTCAAATTCTTTACTGCTCAAAAAATTCAATGAGCTGGTTCCTAAAACTCTGGGGGAAGCAAGAAACAATATTTGTTGTGTCATCTGTTGTGCAGTCATGTTGCATAGCTGGTTGGATACCTACTTGGTGCTTCCCCATCTCCCTTTACTGAAATGATGTGCCTTCTGATGGCTTTTTCCTCTTTTAAATGGGTATAAAGGAGATATACAATTTTCTCTTTCTTGGCTTACAGACTTGACTTCTTGTCCTGGAGTTTTCTGAGCCTGTGAATATTTGTTTCATTTAACTTATGAATATTTTGAATGTAGGAACAGAAATTGGTCATGATTCACTTTTGCTTGTACAGTGGACCCTTGAACAGCACAGGTTGGAGCTGCAGGGGCCCACTTACATGCAGATTTTTTTATTTGCAAGAAAGACAGAAAATTTTTCAGACATTTGCCAGGTTTTTTTCAAGTTTTTCCTTTCTCTAGTATACTTTATTGTAAGAATACAGTATATAATACACATAACATGCAAAATATGTGCCTATCGACTGTTTATGTTATCAGTGAGGCTCCTGGTCAACATTAAGCTATTAGTGGTTAAGTTTTTGGGGGTTTAAAAGTTGTACTAGGATTTTTGACTACATGGGGGCTGCAGTCAAAAGCCTAACCCCTAAATTGTTCAAAGGTCAACTGTACTTCCCTGTGCAAAGTGCTCCCCCTCTGAAACATTCTGGAATGAGAATATTACCAAAAATATTAAAGTTACACTGAAATTTCCACGAGGGTGTCTTTCCCATGTCTTATACCAGTGGTCAATAAAAGTTTTAGTAAGAAGGAAGGAAGAGAAAATGCCCTCAGTCCTGTTGGAGGGGCTCTTTAAAAACAGTTTTCTCGTTCCCTCCTAGATCCTAGAATCTTTGTTGGGTCAGGCTCAGAGCCTCAGATCCATTGGAGCCTGGAGGGGAGAGAAGGGGGGAAACGCAGAAGGATGGCACCTTTCAGGCAGAGGGTAAGAAATGCTGGGTCATCCAGCTGGTCACTGGCTCTAGATCAGACGGAGCGTGGGGAGATCACGGGAGCTCCCATAGACTTTTAAAGTCTTAAGAGATATTAGTCAATCACACTGAAAGGACCTTTTTTGGATCCTGATTCAAACAACTTGTTTAAAAATGATAACACCATCAGGCAAATGGAGCACAGACTTGATTTTGATGAAATTAAAGAATTTTTCTATTTTAAGATGCTGAATGATATTAAGGTTCTTTTTGAAAAGTTCTTATGTTTTTGGAATTCTAACTGAAATGACAATGATGTCTGGAGTTTACTTCTAAATAATCCGTATCAGGGGAGCGGGTGGGATTAGAAATGGAATAAGATTGGCCAAAAGCTAGTAAGGACTGACTGAAGTAAGGGATGAGTATGTGGAGTTCATAATATGATTCTTTCTAACTTCATATCTGTTTGAAATTTTCCATGACAATTTTAAATGGCAACCTGGAAAACACATCTTTTCACAATTAGACAACAGGAGAAGGAGAAGTCAAAATTGGTGTTGTGGGTAAAATTGTAACATTGCCAGAATGTCTCTCCTGGCTTTGGTACATCTGCATATATCAACAGGTGTTCAGAGGTGGACAGAAGTATGGCTTTTAGTGCATTTGCATCTTTCCTCAGGGGTGGAGTGAAGTACATCTCCATGTCAATGGGTAATTACCTGGGCAAGGAGAGCTTATCTGTACCTGAGAAGGGAGAGGGGTGCGGTTTTGCTGCTGCTGGAGCAGGAGAGAGAGATGGGCTGGACTGCACAAAGTATTTCATATCATTTGATCTTGGAAAAAGCCTGGTATGTATTGGTTGCCATATATGACATCTGATAAAATGTCTTCATTTTTGCATTGTTTAAGGACTTACTTTAAACCTCTGAAATATCTTTATTGCTTTATTAGTCTCTTATTTGATACTTAAGGATTAATTTTATGTCCTGTTCTAGTTTTGCATGGATATCTATTTACAATATTAGAATTCTTAAATGTTCCCCATCATGATTTGGAGCAATTTTATTCTTCCTTTTAGTTTCTATTTAGGGGAATGTACAGGGTAAAAAGAAAGCCTGTCTTATTTCTGCTGAGTCCACCCAGCTGTTGTATTTTGTGTTTGCTTATTGCCCATGCTTCCCCTCGGAGTATGAAGCCATCAGAGGTGTTCCGATCTTTCTAATACTTTATCAGCATTTCTTTTATTAGCCATATTATCCTTTATCTCTTTTCTGTGAAAACTTTTAAAGTACAAATTGATGAAGCCATGTCTTTTGTTACTTAAATATTGTGCCATCAACATTTACAACTACATTATAAGATTTAAGTTAATGATTAGAAACCCACACATTTTTAATTCTTTTCCTTTTTTTGTATGTACCTCAGGTTCCAGGATTCCACCCTATGAACACAGGAAACTACCAGAGGCCCTGGTATTAAAAATTCTGAACTGGTCACAGACCTTTCACAAGGTCAAGAGCAGTAAACATCTTATCTTTATAAGAGCAACACATTCTTAAATTAATATAAAAGAACTAGAGGGTTTTGCATGCTTTGTCCTTTGTGGAATCACAGGACAGGACTGCCATTCAAGTGTGCAGTAGATTTATATGCTATCCCAAGACCACTCAATAAGAGTGTCTAAGCATAGCACTGATAGAGAAGGGATCCGCCCCGGCTGAAGGTTTCCCTGAGCTCTGGCAGGAGTTACTCTATGACTCTGCAAATATTAAATATAGCTACATGAATCACACTACAAAATTCCAGTCCTGAAATCTAGTGTCAGGCATAACAATTTGTTCTCTCTCCTTGCTCATAAATAACAAAGAATCAATTGAAGAAATCTTGGTCTGTATAAAGAATACTCTGATGCTTTTTAACTCCCTCTTTGGAAGACACATTATGCATTTGACATAACATGTGTTTCTCAAATGTTATTTTGTGCTCATTAATCTTTAAATTAAATTGTCAGTCCTTGTAACTAGAAAGACATTTCCCGAGAAACCTCCAGACTAATACTAAGGGTACACAACAGATGATAAACTCCAGTGACCTCTGAGGAGACAGATGGACTGTGTGGCTTCGAATACCCACGTGTCTTTCTGGACTGCAGATGACAGCATAACACAGGTTAAAATGTTTGCTTGGCAAAAATGCTCAGGCCTTTTCCAAATTTATCGAGTTGATCATAAGGGTTGTGTCATCTGTTCTATTGGTTTATCAAATGTCTTTTTTTATTATAACCTTCCTCACCACTATTCCTCCTCATTTGTGTATGTCTGTGTGCATTTTTCTTTATAATTACAAAATAATCTGTACTCATTGCAGTAGTAACAAGGGCTAACATTTATTCATTGCTTTTAAGGTGCCAGGTACTCTGTGAAAAACTTAAAACCTCTGCCTCATTTAATCTTTAACAACTCTGTGAGGTACTTATTATTATTTTCATTTTGCAGATTTAAAGCATATGGACATAAAGGACACGGAAAGTTTACAACCCATTCATCCATCCTGAAAAAGTTTTCTGCAGGAAAAAAAACAAGGAATCCAAGAAAGAGAATAAAATTCAAAACATGTGGAAGTGGTGAGAAAAATAAACTAATAAAATGTATACTTAAATCTTAAAGTTAAGACATTTAAGAAAGAATTTAATCAAAAAAATTGAAAAGAAAAAATGTAAAAAAGAGTTTAATGATAAACTGGAACTAAAATTTCAGATTGTTGCTACAAAACATGAGATGCTTAAGATCTTATCTTGTTCCAGAGGAAAAAATTATACTGATTCATTCTGAACATTTGTAGAAAAGCACGTTTAAAAGTTTTATTAAAATTACAGGCCATCTCCTCAAAACTGTCAAGGTCATCAAAAGCAAAGACCAAGAAACTGTTACAGCCAAGAAGAGCCTAAAGAGACAGTCCATCGAATGTAATGTGGTATTCTGAAATAGACAACAGACATTCAACAAAAGCTAAAGAAATGTGAATAAAGCACAAACTTGTCTTTGCCATTTTACTGTGTAAATCCAAAATTACTCTAAAAAAATTTTGTGAAAAAATAGAACCAATCTCATAGAGTTGTTACACAGATATAATTAACATAAAAAGATCTACACAGGGACTGGAATATATTAAGTATTCAGTAAATATGAGCTTTGAATAATGATTGAAAAATAAAGTGCTTTCAATAGATGAATAGGAATAGTATGCATAACTTTCCACACTATGGGACAGAGGGGATAAAAAGAAAGAAAATTCAGTCTATCTAATAAAAAATAGAAAAGTTAAGGAATAAAGAAAATATTAGAATAAAAAACATAAAATAAGATGTCAGGAATCAGTAACTACTAAATGTGAATGGGTTAAACCCACTATTAAAGGGAAAGATTCCACACCCATTAGGATGGCTACTATTACAAAAACAGAAAATAACAAGTTTTGGAGAATAAAGTCGTGTGCACCCAATTCCAACATGGAATGAGCCTGAGGGGTGTTCCCACACCTTCACAAAGCAATTAACTCAGTCCTGACAGTAACTACCCAGAGATAGCATGAGAAACCACAGATTAAGTTCTCACAAAACTTCCCCTCTACCCGACAACTTCAGATGTCAATTACAAGTCCAGGTTGTCACCTCTGCTTCTGACCTACTGGCTATTGATGGGAAATTCCAAAGACCACCACCCTCCCCTTAGGTTCCATTTATTTGCTAGAGTGACTCACAGAAGAAACATTTTACTTACCAGATCACCAGTTTATTATAAAAGGGTATAACTCTGGAACAGCCAGATGGAAGAGATGCATAGGGCAAAGTACAGAGAAAGGGCTTGGCTTTATTGGGAAAATTTTATATTAACTTTAAAAAACATGATCTACATTTAGGAGAGCAACAAATGGGAAATCAGTAAGTGTTATAAAATATTTGGTGGCAAAAATACTCTGAAGTTATGTTCCACATCAAAATGGATCCAATCAAGTTACATATCTGTATGTTTATTGAACAAATAAACCTTGAAGAGCATATGAAGACAATTCATCAAGTAAAGATTTAGCTATACTTGGTAGATTTCAATGGAGGCCAGATCATGTAACTATACCTGTTACTATATTCATTAAATATTTTAAATTAATTTTTATAAAAGTTAATGCATACTCTATATGGTCAATTAATATAGGAAAAGGAGCCATGAGTCTACACTGGGGAAAAGACAGCCTCTTCAACAACTGGTGTTAGGAAAACTGGACAGCTACATGTGAGAGAATGAAACTAGATTATTGTCTAACTCCATAAACAAAAGTAAACTCAAAATGGATCACAGACCTGAACGTAAGTTATGAAACCATAAAACTCTTAGAAGAAAACATAGGCAAAAATCTCTTGAACATAAGTATGAGCAGTTTTTTCCTGGATACATCTCAGGCAAGGGAAACAAAATAAAAATGATCAAGTGGGACTACATCAAACTAAAAAGCTTTTGTACAGCAAAGGACACCATCAGCAGAACAAAAAGACATCCTACAGTATGGAAGAATATATTCATAAACAACTTATCTGATAAAGGGTTAACATCCAAAATATATAAAGAACTCATATGTTTTAACACTCAAAAAACAAATAATCTGATTAAAAAATGGGCAGAAGCCCAGAACAGATATTCCTCCAAAGAAGAAATACAAATGGCCAAAAGGCACATGAAAAGATGCTCCACAGTGCTAATCATCAGGGAAATGCAAATCAAAACCACAGTGAGATACCACCTCACACCAGTTAGAATGGCCACTATCCAAATGACTAGAAATAATAAATGTTGTCAAGGATGAGGAGAAATGGGAACCCTCCTACACTGTTGGTGAGAATGGAAATCAGTGCAACCACTGTGGAAAACAGTTTGGAGGCTCCTCAAAATACTAAAAATAGAAATACCATTAAATCCAGTAATTCTACTTCTGGGAATTTACCTGAAGAAAACAAATTCCTGATTTGAAAAGATGTATGCACTTTTATTTTTATTGCCACATTATTTACAACAGCCAAGAAATGGAAGCAACCTTAGTGGACTACCAATAGATGAATGGTAAAGAAGAGGTGGTACATACACACAGTGGAATATTACTCAGCCATAAAAAGAAAAGAAATCCTGCCATTTACAACAACATGGATTGATCTAGAGGGTATCATTCTCAGTGAAATAAGCCAGGCAGAGAAAGATAAATACTATATGATTTCACTTACTTTTGGAATATAAAAACAAAGCAAAATAGAGGGAACAAAATAGCAGTAGACTCATAGGCACTGGGAAATGACTAGTGGTTACCAACGAGGAGGAGTAGGGGTGGGAAGAGTGAGGAAGAGGGGGATAAATGGGAACAATAATTTGCAATCACAATGTAAATTGGTCATGGGGATGGTAGTACAGCATGGAGAGTAACATCTTTCTACATTGGTAGATAGTAACCACACTAGAGGGGGTGAGGATTTAATATATGGGTAACTGTTGAACCACTGTGTTGTACCTTTGAAACCAATATAAGATTGTATATCAATGATACTTTAATTTTTTATGTTAAAAATTAATTAATCTATCTAGCTTGAAATATTAATGCATATGCAGAAAATTTTCAAAAAATATATAAAGAAAAATTTCCTGTTCTTATATTCTTCATCCTTTTTTCCAGAGGCATCCTTTACTTACTCTTCAGTGTATATCCTCTAGAAATTGTTTATACATATACACATATAAAAATGAATAACATAATTTGGAAACATTTAACAACTTTGAAGCAAACATTTATTCTTTTTAAATTGAGCTTTAATTTGTAAACTAATATCAATTTAGTCATAGGATTAAATCCCTAGGCATTCTGGTAAATTGGGAATTTAATAAAATTACCAAGCTAAAGTTAGAAATATTTTCCTTACAAAATCCTAGATTTGGTATTTGCCCTTAGACTCCTGTTCTTGAGAATCTTTTGGGCAGACTGGGAATAAGAAATGGTGTTATTCTTAAACTCAAAAAAATCCTGGCTTCTTCATGGTTTTTCAATATTTTCTTGAAAAACTTTTTAGTTCAGCTCTATCTGTTATCTTATCATATGTGACCAAGTAAGTAAAACTACCTGGCACACTAAAGATTCTGCTAGATAGCTCTCTTAGGCAAATCTACCAACTCATTAGGTGTATTTTCTGTCTTTCATATCATCACAGGGGATAGAGTTACTAACCTCCATAGCATAACTTCAAAATGTATGCATTTTCTCAGTCTTCCAATAATTTCTTCCCTGGTCTCCTACCTTCACCAATGTCTCCTCAAGGGATTTCCAGTTTATACTAAGATTTCCAGGACCTTTCCAGCCTCTGCCCAGCAGCTAGTCTGCAAGTCAGTCTTAGCTGTTTTATATTTTTATTATGATAACACCCCAATTTCAAACACTACAATTCTGTCCCTGTTACTATTGCTGCATTATAAATCATCCCAAAATTCAACAGCTTAAAACAATGATCTTGTTATTGCTAATAGATTTTGTGGGTCAGAAATTCAGAGAGGGCACGATATGGATGGATGGCTCTGCCTCACAATGTCAGAGGCCTCAACTTGGAAGATGTGAGGGCTAGAGGTGATTCAGTGCCTAGGTGTGGGAATTAACCTGAAGATTCATTCATTTATATGTCTGGCAAAGCTGGGAAGACCAGGACTACTGACTGGAATATCTGCGTGCTGTATTTCCATGTGGCTTCATCACCCTGGGCCTAATGCCCTTGGGGTGCAGCCCTTCTTCAATAGAAGCTCAGGCTTTTAAGAGTGAATGTGCCAGCAACAGAACTGGAAACTAAATCATCACTGATGACCTGGCCTTAGAAGTCACACTTTGCAATTTTTCCACACTCTGTTGGTTGAAGCCATCCCAGACCCACTAGATTCAGAGAGAAGGATAGACCTTATTTCTTGATGGGAAGAGTAGCCAGGTCACATAATAGAATATCTTGTGGGATGAAAGATATTTTTGCAGCTATCTTTGGAAAATACAATGTATTTTAGTTACAGTATAGAAGATTTGAATGAGGCAAATAAATTGCTGTAATTAACTTACATAGATTGCTATATATCTATAAATACAAAATACCCATCTTCTGAAGTGTTCATGATATCCTTACCAAAAGTGACAATATCCTGAGCCATAAATCTCAACACAATTCAAAGAATGGTAATTATACAGAGATGGACCCAGTCCTAGTGAAATTTACCTAGAAATTAGTAACAAAAAGATAACCAGAATATCCCCATATGATGGAAATTAAGCAACACATTTCTAAATAATCAATAACACAAAAAAGATATCACAAGGAAAATTAGAAAAAGTTGAAACCAAATGATCATTTCAGTCATGATTTTTAAAAAGGCCATATTAAAATTCATGAGACTTCTGCTTTCTGCCATGGTATAGTGAATGGTGTCAGTCTAACCTCCCCATGCCACCATAAATGACAAGAAAACAAAAAACATGTAAACCAAATGCTGTCAGATATCACTAAGAGATAGTATAAGACTGTGAGTCCTTAGAGAAAGAAAACAAGCTTATTCTGAACTGTGGTGCGCAGATGAGAGAGAAGCAGGTTATGATGGCTTTCCTGAGTTGAAGGAAACATTGCAACTCAGGAAAACTAAAGCAAGGAAAGCACTGGAAAGGAAGGAGCTACGCAGAGGAAAGAACGAAATCTGTGTGGAGGTGATTCTTTGCTGGGTGCCAGACTGCACGTGGATAGAGTGAATCTGCACAAAGTTACATAGAGTGACCAGATAAGTGTAATTCAAACAATGCCCAGAACACACACAGAGCAGGGAGACATCTGCAACTGTCCCCCCAGATTAGAATTATCATCAGGTTTGGTGGAGACTCAAGAGTAATGGGCCGTGTTGGAGCTCAACTAGTCCTGCAGTGAGCCTACTACAGATGGGTCAGGAAAAGTTTACAACAGGCCTTAAAAGTCAAACTGATAGTCAAGTAAACTCACAGCCTGCTGGCAGTCTTTAAAAGTTGACAGCTCAATCCAGACACTGCATTGTAACACTCACAATATCTGCCA